CCTTTTCATGGTGTTACACATTTCCTGCATATTCCATTCTTGTGTTTTCTTAAATTTTTCATAACCCTTGCTTGAATGGTCTAATTCACCCACTTTATCTTCCAGTCTTGATAGTCTGTTTTCCATTTCATTCATCCTATTGGTGAGGCTTTCTCCTGTTGTTTCTAATTGGCTTACTGAGTGTTTCACTTCCTTCTTCATTTCAGTCTGAGCATTCTTCAATATTTCTAACTCTTCTGAATTCATTCAGAAGTTTACCACTATCTTATTTCAGTTGATTTCTTTGTGTGTTCTTTAAATTCACTGAATTCTTTTATCATGTTTATAATTGTTCTTTTGAGTTCCATGTCCTGTGTTATCTCTAGGGGGGTTCTCATCGTACTCCTCTACAGGACTGATGGTACTTGGTGGGGATACATTATTTTGATTTTTCATGTTATTATTTTTTCTCTGTGACTCTGACATGTGGATTTCTTTTGTAGATTCTGGTTCTTGTGTGAGACTCAAGCCTTCCTTTGTTGAGTTTAGGTCCGCTTCTTTTTGTAACCTTTATGTGCCTTTGTGGTTTCCTTGTTGGACATGAAAAGCTGGCTGGTCTAGGCTTCAGGTTCTCTCTTTTGATTTTATATTGGAGTGACCAAATTAATTTTGTCTTGCTGCTCAGTAATTCCCACAGAGGCCCAAGTTGGATGAGGATCAGATGCTCTCAGGCTTTCTCCTAAGTTCTGGATCCCTCCAGGAAAGATGCTGGCCTGAGGAATTTGAGGGCTGGGCTGGGCTGGCCTGGGAGCAGGGCCCAGGAAAGATGCTGGCCACAGGGATGCAAAGGGAAGTGGGGACAAGAAGAGGCCCAGGGCTCCTGGGGACTACAGGGAGGAATTGGGTTGGTTTGGACTCAAAGGATCAGGAAGCAGTGAAGATTCTGGACTAAGAGGTCAGTCCACGGGTCTGGGGTGTCATGACAAGAGACAGGCCAGTGCCCCTGCTATAAGAAGAGAAGGGGTGAGGGTGAATGAGGCCGGCAGAGTCAATGCACAGTGGGCACAGCAGCCAAACTTACCCAGGCAAGCTGCTGGCTCCAGGAAGCTGTGAGGCTGGGCTGCCCAGAGATGCAAAGGGAGGTGGGGACTAGAGGGAGGAATTGGCTTGGTATGAGTGCAAGGGATCAGGAAGCAGTGGAGAGTTTGGGCCAAGAGGTCAGTCCAGAGGTCTGGGGTGCCAAGACAGGAAATGTGCCAGACCACCTGCTAAGAGGAGAGATGGGGTGGGGGAGCGGGATGGTGAATGAGACTGGGGGAGTCAAGGCACAGTGGTCACAATGAAACTTACCCAGGCAAGTTGCTGGCTCCAGTTAAATAGTAACTTTAATTTCACAAATAATCATATATGTATATGGGAATATATATTATATATAATATATATTTCTATGAAAGAACTTGGCACACTATTCTAAAATCACTCATTCACATGTCTATATCCTCAGTTCAAAAACAGAGAACCTGCCAGGCATGGTAGCGCATGCTTTTAATCCCAGCAAAGGCAGGTGGATCGCTGTGGGATCCAGGCCAGCCTAGTCTACATAGTGAGTTCCAGGCCATCTGAGGCTACAGAGAGACCCTGTCTCCAAAAACCAAAATATTTTTTTAAAAATTAAAAATTAAATTTAAGTTAATGGCTGAGATTGTGTAGCACAGCAACTAGCACAGAGCAGGCATTCAATAAGTGTCCACTGGAGATATTATAATAGGTTGATTTAAGAATCTTAAGAATCCAAGCCAGGTGTGGTGGTGCATGCCTTTAATCCCAGCACTTGGGAGGCAGGGGCAGGTGGATCTTTGTGAGTTCAAGGCCAGCCTGGTCTACATAGAGAGTTCCAAGCCAGCTGGGGCTATAGGGAGACCTTGACTCAAAAAGACAAAAAAGAAAAAAAAAAAAAGAATCCTAACAATCCTTGTTCTGCTGTGCATTATCTCTGAGTGTGGACACACCATCTAACATCATTTCTCATGTGAAACTCAGTATTAGTAATGGCATATTGGAGAGAGGCTTTTGAAGACAGGTGTGGATTCCAAATGTGGCTGTATTATCTCCCAGCCACATGACTCACCAGCTTAGCTTCTGTGACATCAGTTCCTCATTGAGGATGATAATGAACTGTTTAAGTGTCTGGCAAACTTCCTGCTGCATATCAGTCACTGAACCAGTGAACCATAACAATAACATGCATGATGAGCATGATTATTTTTCCTATAATAATCTCTCAGTGTTTTTGTTGGATTGAAATAAAATTATTCCATAAAGTATTCTATAAGTGGTAATTATATAAATGTAAGCTGTGACCATGCTTATTGAATAAAGTGATGAGTAAAGAAATAATTCCTTTTTTTTTTGAGACAGGGTCTCCCTGTAGCCCCAGCTGGCCTGGAACTCACTATGGAGACCAGGCTGGCCTCGAACTCACAGAGACCCACCTGCCCCTGCCTCCCAAGTGCTGGGATTAAAGGTGTGCACCACCACTCCCAGCTATTATTTATAATTTTATGTGTATGAGTGTATTGCTTGCATGTAAGTGCATTCATGTCGTACAATGCTGATGGAAGTCCAAAGAGGGCATCAGATCCCCTGGAGCTGGAATTATAGATGGTTATTAGCTACCATGTAGGTTTTGGGAATTGAACCTAGGGTTCTCTTCAAGAGCAGCCAGTGCTCTTAACTGCTGAGCCATCTCTCATGTCTAGTCCTCTTATCTTTATAAGATATGATTCAAAGACTGGGGTAAGAGCCAGACATGGTGGCTCATGTCATTAACTCTAGCACTCAGCAGGCAGAGGCAGAAAGGTCATTATGAGCTCAAGGCCAGCCTGGGATATACAGTGAGTTCTAGGCCAACTTGGATGACAGAGTGAGACCTTGTCTCAACCAAAACCAAAACCAAACTGAGGTGAGTGAAGAAAGCATCTATAAGCAGGAAAAAAACAATCTCTCTTTAAGTAATTGAAATTGATTCACAGTTCAAAATGTTTTATTATTCTTATAAATTATCCTCAGTAACTTTCATAGGACCTATTTTTTCAGACAACAGTCTCATATGTAGACTAGACAGGACTTGAACTAGCTATATAGCTAAGGATGATCTGGAACTCCTAATCCTTCTACCTCTACCTCCCAAGTGCTAGGGTACCATGTGTGTGTGTGTGTGTGTGTGTGTGTGTGTGTGTGTGTGTGTGTGTGTGTGTGTACACGTGTTATGTAATGTGTGTGGGTATATGTGCCTGTGCACACATATCCAGATGCCAGAGGAAGATGTAGAAAGTCTTCTATCACTTTCTACTTATGAACAAGAGGAGGGTGAATCAGAAGTTCATCATTTCAGCTAGGCTAAATTCCTTGTTTCAGGAATTGTTTCAGCCTGCTCTGGCTGGTAAGCCATCCCCTCTTACAACGAATATGCTAGGTCCTTTTCTCATCAGCTGTTCCTAAGCTGTGAACTTTGAAATAAAATTATCCTAAATTCTCTAGAACTGTAAGTAAACATTGTATCACATAAGGTATTTCCAATTATAAATGGTTTATCACCAGGCATGGTGGCACATGCCTTTAATCCTAGCACTTAGGAGGCTGAGGCAGGCAGACCTCTGTGAGATGGAGGCCAGCCTGGTCTACATAGCGAGTTCCAGGCCACCTGGGGCTTCATAGTTAGACACTGTCTTAAAACAAAAATCAGAAGGGGCTGGAGAGATGGCTCAGCGGTTAAGAACACTGGTTGTTCTTGCAGAAGACCCAGGCTCAAATCCCAGTACCCACATGGCAACTAACAACTGTCCGTAGCTCCAGCTCCATGTAACTCCAGTCCCAGGGGATCCGACAGCCTCCTGACCTCCGCGGGCACTGCACAACAGGGGGTACACTTACCTACATGCAGGCAATACACGCATACACATGAAATAAAAATAATAAACTTAAAAAAAAAAGGTTTAAAAAAAATCAGACAAAAAAAGACCCATGTGGGTGCAGGGACTCAAGCCAGGGTCCTCTGCAAGAGCAGTCAATGCTCTTAATTGCTGAGTCATCTCTCCTGTCTGCTCTCCCACCATGAGTATTAACTTTTGAAACACAAACTTTATTAGATCTATTGTCTGTTTTTTTAAGTGACTTGTGATTTTACTGTCTTCATTACAAATCAGCTTAGAACTGGATCACTTGGCCCTTTCTCTTTTTGTATCCTTCCAGTTCAGAATGCTTACACATCTTAATAGCCAGCATTCTCTTAGCTCTGCAGTTGGGTTCCGCATACCCAAGCCTCAACACAATCTTCTTTGAAGTTTTAGCCTTTTTGCAGAAAATAGGCTTAAGTCTGCCTGCCATAGCCACTCTGTTTCCCGTCATAACGCTGCTTTCCCAGGGCACACAGAGAATCCTTGCCCTTCCTGTACTGTGTCATTTTGTAGGGCTGGTACTTGCCACATTTCTTGCAGAAAGTTCAGAGGATTTTAAGAATGTTTGCAGCAGCACTAGCAGCACACTATTAGATCATTTTCATTGCACATAGCTCAGTTTTTTTCTCACTTCCTGGTTTTGGATAAGGTGATAATCAATAAGGTTTTGGGAAAGTTAAAGCTAAACCAAACTATATTAATATGAAAACTTAAAAATAAGTTCTTTATCACTGCAAAAACTCCAGGATTTTAAGAAATGCAAGATACTTACGAGAACACATAACACTGAAGAGATGTTGAAACAACTAAGTGTGCATAGTTCAAAGAGGCTTTAATGACTCTATCACGGAACTCCAGTAAATCCACGGCATCATTAAGAACGTTACGAACCTAAACAAGGAAAAAGGAAGCACCAATAAACATTTTAAAAAAACATATTTTCAATTAGATAAGCTAGCCAGATTTTAATATACACAAAAATTTAATGCACCTTTGACAAGCTAA